GTACGGTACAGACAGTAGTAATAGTAAAACAAAGAACATACAATAACTAAGTAGTAGTAATACTATATTATAATAATAAAAAAAATAAAATATATATATATATATATATATATATATATACATCTTCCCAATTCCAACAGACAGCATGTCAAAAAAAAGATGAATTGGAACTGTAAGCAGACAATATATTGCCTAGGCAAATGTTTGCTTTACTTTATAGCATTTGCTTAACTTATCTGTCAATCATGAAACCAATTAAATACCAAATCTCTCCTTTACTTTAATAGGTAAATATGTAAGTTCATACTTGATTTTTAACATTTGGTTGTTGGCAGTTTTAATTTCATTTATCAATATAATATAAATTCACGTGTATAGGTTTTAAACTGAAATATTCTATTAGGGTTATATTTTATCTCACCTTGTCACAAATTTCAAACAATGTCTCATGTTACCAGGTAAAGCAATCTTATTTGCATTGTTTCAATTAGACATTCTCATGATGTGAAAGGTCAATTTCCATGTATAATAATTAATTGTTTTTCATTAATTATTAAATAAATAATTTTTGTTATTTTCACTAGTTAAGATTTTATGAATTCATCTACTTTTAATTTTATTTGTTCTGTTGACGACAGCTGAAATACAAAATAAAGATACTAACTCGTTACACGTTTTTTCTAGACTCATTTCTCACTATCCTCATCCCCATGAAGAAACCAGTTGTTTTAGGACACTTCAGTTTGGGGCCAATGGACCTCACTATTAGGTCTATACTAATTTAGCATTTACTAATAGATATGGCACCGTTCCATTGCTGAGGTAAACGTAAAATATGTATTACAAGTAGCAAATCTAAGTAATATTACTTTTTAGAATAAAAATGGAGATTTGAGCACTAAAAGTAAAACAATTACTTAGTATAACTCTAGTACTAGTAGCAGTAGTTCTAACTTCTCTACTCCAGGTGTTTACGTCCACTGTTGTCTACTGCTAATGAAGTTAATTATATAAATTAAATTATTTAATTTATAATAAAATTAATAGTAAAGTAATCTCACTTTCAAGCAAAGCTATCACTTTAGTTATTACTTACGACGAAACCTTTAAGTATCTTTATTTATTTATTTATCTTTTGTAATTCTGAACTGGCCTACTTTTATGATACTTACATATACATAACATATTCCACAGCCTTTAGTTATACACGTATTTGTTAATAATTCTGACATTTTGTGATGTCATATTTGAAAAGGTGTAGCCACCTAATGCTTCCTTTTGAAATTAAAATCTGCATACTTACAAAATAGCTTTTCTTATTTTATATAAATCTCCTTTAGCCATTGTAATATTTTTAACTCACTTAATTTGTTTATGACTACAGTTTTTTTATTTCTATAATGACCTCTTATTTTTAGAAAATTATATTTGTGTGGTATTCTCATGTGCAATTACTTTTCTTAAGTGCAATAAGATAGACTCTACAAAATAACAGGAGATCCAATAAAAATTTATTACGAAATAAACCTGAATTCTGATAATTCAATTGAGTTTAAAGCAAAGAAAGAAACTGGATACAATGTAAAACAGAATGCAACAACCTGTATTAAATACGCGAGAAACTAATCAAAGTCAAGACAAAAATTTATTCTATGTTGCTTTTAGTGGAGAGAACATTATAGAATGAATCAAAAATGTTATTTCTCTCAGGACGCATGCACTTATCACGTAACTGTTGGTCATTCCCATAGAAAAATAAGGGAGGTGCAACTTCAAGGTATCACTTAACCTACCAGTGGAGAAGATCACTAACTAATGCTGCATTGAATCTTTCACTTTACAAGAATCTTCGTGACACTTTAGTTGAATAACTCAGTTTAGGTAACTGGGAACTAAGCTACTTTCTTGATTGATGTTCAATGTTAAATTACATACACTGTATGCACAAAATGTTTGAAAATTTTATAATAAAGGAACAGAAGACATTTAGGATGCCTATCTTTTCCCCTTTATCTCCAACCATCCCTAATTTTAAAACTTACTGATTAAAACATTCGTGTATCGATCAAGAAATCACAGTAATTTACTATCGTTCCTGCAAAATACTTACATAGGACAAGAAACATGAAACAGGTAGCACAACTTTCCAAAACAAAATACAAATCAAACTCAAATCAAGAATAAATACAATATAATTCCATAAGTGTTCCTATAGCGCAGTGGATAGCGCGTTGGATTTCTAATCCAAAGGTACCGGGTTCGTTCCCCGGCAAAGATGCCACCACCCAAGTCCAGGATGAGAAAGTACAACCTCGTAAAAACCAACCTGCTAAAAAAATTACTGCAACAACAACTTCCGTCGGCTAGTTTATAGTAACATAAGCCTTCAAAATCAATTTAAAACATATTGGTAAAAATAAATGATGCTAAAAAATTTTTTTTTTTAAGTTGAAAAAGTACAAAATTAACCTTTTATAAATTTAAACAGATTGCTTGTTAAGAAATAAGACATATTGGACTATCTGTTGTGTCCACCGCAGGGAATAGAATCCCAGAATTTTGAGTGGGTTGTAAGTCCGTAACCTTACCGCTGTTCTACCGGGGGACATTAAAAACAAAACATCGTAGATTCAACACAAACCTTAACTTTGATAAATAAAAAGCAAAACACGAACCTAAAGTGACAATATTGTTACGTCTCCGTTCGTTAGTTGATTTTCCGTAACTTCGTTCCCACGAAACTTTAGCGACAGAAGTCCTTTCTTAATAAAACTAGTTTATTCTTTCTGAATATAACTTTACCGATACACTTATTTTCAACAGTTGCTCTATAACAAACGCTAGAACGTCGCTCGTGCTCGACAATACTTAGTTCAATTACACACTCTCCAACTGCAGTTCAATTACTCACTACCTACACATTGTCCCATCACGTTGTCACCATCTTATATATACCAGACTACCCTATATCTAGTAATCTCCC